GGAGCATCCCTGAGGATAGAGAATGATCCCTGAGCTGGGAGCATCCCTGAGGACAGAGAATGATCCCTGAGCTGGGGGAACCCCTGGGGACAGGGAATGATCCCTGAGCTGGGGGAACCCCTGGGGACAGGGAATGATCCCTGAGCTGGATCCCTGAGGACAGAGGATGATCCTTGGGCAAGGGTTATCCCTGGTGGGGAAGGGGTGATCCCCGTTCTGGGGTGTCCGGATGGTGCTGAACAAATCACGGCTGTAGCAATAGTTTTCCTTTACAGCAAGACCCTTGAGAAACCAACGAGGCGTTAAGAGCGGAAGGAATCGTGGAGTTGATTGTTAGAGAGTTTAACTGTGAACAGTTTACTGGCAGTGATAAAAGGCTAAAGGATTGTTCAATTTTTACACTTCTCTTGTTTTAAAAGATCCTTTAAAATGAATTAATTTCTGCAGGGTGGTGGTTTATAGCATGAGTTAAATTCTATACATACCTGTTAAGTATTACAATGGGGCCAAGCCATTATCTTGAAGCCATTGTAATTCTTCATCAGTAGCTATTTCTGTTCAGTAATTAAATGTAATTGCCTGTGTTATATCAGGGCATTTCAGACACGGGAAGGTTGCCAGGCTCTGATGTCTGCATTTGTTGTTGTTCTTACGTACTGTGGTGCTGTTATGTGCATCGTAGATCATCACCAGAGCTGTGGTTGATATTTCAGTTGGGTTTGTTGTTGTGGTTGTTCAATAGCACAATTTATTTGATGCAGGAAACTGACTGGTAAATAACAAACATAATATCCAACTTGTTGAAATCGACTTGTTGAAATGACTTGCCTGAAAGAAAAGGTTGAGAATTGTGACAGTTTTTTTTTCTTTGGAACTATGATTGGGATAGATGTTTTCACTTCTGATTTAGGTTGCAATCGAGGGCAGAAGGTGTATTACTTAGATCATTATAGTGTATTACTGCTATCTAGGAGATCAGGACTACTTACTGCTCCCTAAAATACATCATTTGGTTGTGAATTCCTCAAGGATAAATTAAAGGCACACATCAGAAAAAACTCTAACCTTTCCTGCTGTGCCTAACTCCCCCTCTTTTGTACTTAAATGTAAATTGTGCTATAGGTGACGGTCAGAATATATCCCTGTGTGATTATTCAAGGTAACCCAGATGTGAGTGAGATATTTGTTTTCCTTCCAGACTCTACACAGTGTGCTGAGCAAATCTATTTCATGCCCTGTGAGAGACTACCTGCAAAAATCACATCAGCAGGTGCTTGTAAGGGTGAGCTCTGCCTGCCTGGGAGTCATTCTGCTCTAGATGGGTTAGGCAAGGATAGCTTTGGATGGGCACAGCTCATAAATCTCCCAGTGACATTTCACTTCTAATGCTCTTCTGGATTATTAATAAATATTAGCTTTCTTGTACGCCTGCTGCCATCATCCATTATAAGCTTTCAGTGTGAGATGAGGCCAAGTTACTGCATGCACAGTTGTGCTGGCTGGATTCACACTTCTTGTGGTCACAGCTCAAAGATTGCCCCCTGTCAGCTTCTAAGAAATACATTCAAATAACCTATATACTTTATTCTGTATAATTTGCCTGCACTGTGGGGAGTTTGGTGTTTATAATAAATAATAAATAGATATTACGAAAAAATACAGTGGAAATCCCCTCCCATCTGAAAGCTTTTGGGTAATCTTTGAAATACCAAAAGCAATTAAACTCTTGAATTGTGAGGTACTTTTTAAGATGTCATCTGTGATGTGTTGTGTCTGATATTTTCATGGCATATTCCTTAGGGATAGAGTCTCTGTAAAGAAAATTAACACTGATGGTTAATAGTTTAGGTTTAAAAACATCTTTTCTTTGCAGTAGCAGTGGTTTTCTCTACGTGCACCCTTACCTGTGCTCTTTTATGTAAAGAGCCTGCTGTAAATGATGTGTTTGAACAGAGAGAGCTGTGGGAGCAGGGTAAAGGAACTGCTCATAATTCTACAGCCTTTAGAAATTCCATGAAAAGATTTTCTGTGCCAGATGTATAGTCCCTTTTTCATATGGAAACAGAGAAGAAAGAACTGTAACCTTTTCTCTTAAGCTATAGCCTTTTCATAATGCAAGTGGATATTTTTCACTTCTTTGGATAGAATTTACACAAAAGTTTGGCATCAGTTGATGCAAAAGGGTTTTTGTCACAAATTTATGGACTGTACCACAGAAGTTAACCATAAAATCCATAATTTTGTTCATCAGAAAAAGAAATGTACCCATTTGAGGAGGCACAACTCTAATTTTCTTACATCAGGAAATATTTTCAAGAAACCATTACTGCAACTGAAAGTTTGAACCTTGAAACTCTGAATTATCTTCTAGATGGCAAATTGTTATCAGATGATGTCACACACTACGTTGTCCCCGACTGCAAGGTTGTTCAGGACTACCTGGAGATTCTGGAATTTCCAGAGCTGAAAGGAATTATTTTCATGCAAACAGCTTGTCAGGCTGTGCAACATCAGAAAGGACGAAGGTACTTTTCCCATAAGAACTTATTTTTTATTTAGATTGAAGTAAAAATACAGATCTGTAAAATGTATAATTCTTTAGGCCTTTGTGATCCATGGATATCAATGCCTGGCATAGTTTTCACTTGATAGGAGCAATATGAAACCTGTAGCATTATTAACAAATCAAGTGGCTGGTGACAGGAATTAATTAGACTTTGCTGTAATGATCTATTATGTGCCCACAGCTAGAATATGGACAGGTTTTGGTTTGTTGTGTTGACACTTGAGCACTTGTCTTTGGGGAATAATTAATATTACTGTCTGTTACTTATCTCACCAGAATTAACCTGGGCATTGCCATGGCATTTCAGATTAAAATTTGCTCTCAGGGCCTTCCCATATTTCTAAAGCACAAAGGCTTTTGAAGAAATAGCCCTTGCCCCAAAAGTGACAAACAAAACAAGTTCCTGAACACTTAGGATGTTTTGTGGGGTTCA